GTGACATAGACGTGACATTCCATTGGAATGAATGGTGAAAAAAAATGTAGGGATCTTACAATTTCAGAGGCGTTTTTGTAGAAATACTACGTCCTACGTTGTGGACCAACGTAGTTATTACACGTTTTTTTGTGAGACTGGGTTGTTCAGCCACGACTCGAAGTCCAGGACTCAGATCCAGTGCTCAGGATAGAGGATCCAGGACACACGACCACAGCAACATGATTAGCCTCGACTCAGGATCCCGGCATATATATATATGGACACAAAAAAGAGATTTGGGGGAAACTGGGTTGATCGGAACATGAGAGTACACAGGTACAAACAGCCAGAAAGATGGAGAAAGGTGCCCCCCTCAACAGTCCAAGCCTATAGCAGCTAAACTAACGTGTCTACATACATGCACTCCCTTAGGATAGGTTGAGGGAAAAGGGTAGCAAGTAAGAAGTAGGAAACAGAGGTGGAGAGGCACACAGGGAGAAAGGTCCCCACTGGAACCTGAATTTGTCAGAAGTAGGAGTGGGTCAGTGACTACGTTCCATACTCCCCGGCCGGGCTAGGCGTTCTCTGCAACCTGTTACCCTCTAATAAACCTTGAGAGGTCATAGAGGGGAAAGGTTTGGATAAAGTTTTAAATATAAGATCTAAGTTTTTAGGATTTAAGTGAAAGAGTAAGAACTAAAATGTATAGGTGAAGAGGCACAACGTATCTACATCAATGCACTCTTATTAGATTATTTTTATTTTATCACTATAAGCTTAATCAAAAAGGAAGGTCTTAAGCGTACTCTTAAAAACGGATAGGCTGTTTGCCGCCCAAACACAAACTGGAAGCTGATTCCACAAATGTGGAGCTTGATAAGAAAAGGCTCTGGCTCCCATTGTACTTTTAGAGACTCTAGGAACAACCAACAACTCTGCATTCTTGGAACGCAATGCCCTAATAGGACAGTAGGGTATAATGAGTTCTTTAAGGTAAGATGGCGCCTGCCCATTAAGGGCTTTGTAGGCGAGAAGAAGAATTTTAAATTCTATCCTGTGTTATATAGGGAGCCAGTGTAAGGCAGCCAGAACAGGAGTAATGTGGTCCCTTTTCCTAACTCTGGTTAGTACACGAGCTGCAGCATTTTGAATCAGCTGAAGCGACTTAACTGACTTCTTGGTACTCCCTGATAATAAAGAGTTACAATAATCCAGCCTTGAAGTAACAAATGCATGGACTAGTTTCTCTGCATCGTTTTGAGGCAAGATATGCCTGATTTTTGCAATGTTACGTAGATGGAAGTAGGCGGTCCTTGAAATTGATTTTATGTGGGCGTTAAAGGATCAATCCTGATCAAATATAACACCAAGATTCCTTACAGTCTCACTGGAGGCCAAATTAATGCAGTATATCTTTAGATAGTTTGTTTCGTAGATTATTTGGGCCGAGTACAATAACTTCAGTTTTGGTCGTGTTTAACATCAAAAAATGTAAGGTCATCCACGTTTTTAAGTCCTTAAGGCAGTCTTGAATTTTATTTAGGTGATTGGTTTCATCAGGCTTGATGGATAAATATAGTTGAGTATCATCCGCATCACAGTGGAAATTTACAGAATGATTCCTTATAATATTGCCTAGCGGAATATATATATAGTGTGAACAAAATAGGTCCAAGCACTGAGCCCTGTGGCACTCCATGGCTAACTTTGGTTTGCATGGAAGATTCATCGTTGACACGTACAAACTGAGAGCGTTCAGATAGATAGGACCTAAACCAGCCTAAAGCAGTTCCCTGTATGCCAACTAAGTGCTCTAGTCTTTGCAATAAGATATCATGGTCGATAGTATCAAATGCAGCACTGAGATCGAGCAAAACAAGAATAGAGACAAGTCCCTTGTCTGAGGCTATTAGAAGGTCATTTGTGACTTTAACCAGAGCTGTCTCTGTGCTATGATGTGTTCTAAAGCCAGACTGAAAATCTTCAAATAAATCATTGTTTTTTAAGTAATCACACAGTTGTTTTGCGACCGCTTTCTCAAGAATTTTTTGAGAGGAACGGAAGATTGTAAATAGGTCTATAGTTGGCTAAAACCTCTGGATCGAGGTTGTGCTTTTTAAGAAGCGGTTTTATCACTGCTACTTTGAATGATTGTGGAACATAGCCTGATAATAAAGACACATTCATAATATTTAATAAAGAAGTGCTAATTAATGGAAACACTTCTTTTAACAGCTTAGTTGGAATCGGGTCTAAGATACACGTTGATGGTTTAGATAGAAGAAAAAATCATTGAATTTAATTGTTCAAGGTTAATGGCTGAAAAGCATTCTAGTTTACTATCTAGTGTAATATTAGAACTTAGGTTTCCGGGAGCTGTTAATAACACTATACTGGTCAAAGGCAAGAGGTCATTAATTTTGTTTCTAAGAGTAACAATTTTATCGTTAAAAAAGCACATAAAATCATTACTACTGAGTGCTATGGGAATAGAAGGCTCAATCGAGCTATGGCTCTCTGTCAGCCTGGCTACAGTGCTGAAAAGAAATCTTGCATTATTCTTATTCTCATCTATTAATGAGGAGTAGTAGGCTGCTCTCGCTTTACTCAGTGCTTTCTTATATTCATTGAGAGTAATATGCCAAATTAAACGAGATTCTATGTTGTTTTATTTTCTTCTTTTTCAAAGGAGCAACAGAGTCTAATTTTATTCGCAGCACATCTATAGCACTATCAACAACATGATCAATTTGGGGTGGTGTACATTTTGTATACGTTTCCTCCCCTACATGCAGACATGCTATCGAGTTAAGTATGGGTGGAATCTCTTCCTTAAATTTGGCTATAGCACTAACAGATAGGTTTCTGCTGCAGGAGCTTTTGACTAATGCTTTGTAGTCTAGTAACAGTACTTCAAAAGTTACTAAGAAATGGTCGGATAAAGCAGGATTATGCGGTTCGACTAATAGTTGCTCAATTTCAATACCATAAATCAGAACAAGGTCGAGTGTGATTATAGCAGTGGGTTGGTTTATTTACACTCTGACGGAAACCAACATAATCTAATATAGAGTTAAATGCAACAGTAAGGCTATTTTTTATCATCGTCAACATGAATATTAAAGTCACCTACGATAATTACTTTATCTGTTTAAAGGCCCTGACACACCAGGCCGATTTCGGCTGTTTTCGTAAGTCGGGAGACGAAGCGTGTCCTGTCGCCCAAACTCAATTTGGGGTGTCCCGCACCGTCGACCGTGACACGCCTTATTTGGACTGCCAGACCCGATGCATGGCCGATTCAACATGTTGAATCGGCCATGCATCGGGTCTGGCAGTCGGACCAAACAATCACTCTGATTGGCTGTTCAGCTAGCGAATCAGTGAATGAGAAGCGAAACGGAAGTGAGGGACGTAAACAAACGATTTAAGAAGGCACACACAGACTGATATTCATTTTCATCTCATCATGGCGATCTGGAATGACGCAAACGAAGACCTGCTCATCACATTGATCCAGGAGAGGCCAGCTCTGTACGACATCACAGAGAAAAGGTACTCGAACCGAGTAGTGAAAACCGGACTCTGGCGAGAGATTGAAACGGAACTTGGTTTCTCGGGTAAGATTATCTTTTTCATCAATTGAGCTCTTTAGCAGATACTGTTGGCTTTTTATTGTTTGCCAGCGTACAGTGACGTTAACGTGAAATGTAATTTGTTATTTCAACCTTGTGTTTTGTTGTTATCTTGTTGCTAGCTGTTGCTAGCTGTGCAGTTTGGCACTGCATATAGATATGAATTGGACATGCTAACTAGCCACAATGGTTACATCGTTTATTTGTGTGCTTCAGAGAAAGAGCTGAGGAAGAAGTGGGATTCTCTGCGAACCCAGTACACCCGGTACAGGAGACTTGCCCCTTCGGGTAGTTGTGGAGCACCAAAGACGGGCAGACAGCAGTGGATCATAACCAGGCTGCAGTTTGCACACGCTATTTGTTGTTGTTTATATCACGCAGTCTGGTCTTCTTCTCTGTCTTCCGGTTGTTGCCTATTTTTAATGACGAATACACACTACCGCCGCCTGCTGGTAAGGAGAGTTATTGCCAATCACGCACTGAAGTCTTTGCGGTGTGTTCCCGTGCGACACATGGCCAAGACGCAGGAGAACACCGCGACACAACAGCCGACGTCGGCGTCGGCGAGTCCTCTGGTGACTGCTTGGTGTGTCAGGGCCTTAAGAACCAACGTTGATAAAAACTCAGAGAATTCTGATAAGAATTCTGAATAAGGACCTGGTGCACGGTACACTGTAACAAATAAGATTGCCTGCAAAGTTTTCCAGGTCGGATGCGTAAGACTAAAAACAAGGCTTTCAAAGGAGGTATAATTTAATTTTGGTTTAGTATTGATAAGTAAACTTGAGTCAAAGATTGCTGCAACTCCACCTCCTCGGCCCGTGCCTCGGGCAATATGAGTATTGATATGGCTGGGTGGAGTGGCCTCATCTATGCTGACATATTCTTCATGTCTCAACCAAGTTTCAGTGAGACAGCATATATCAATATTATAATCTGATATTAAATCATTTACCAATATTGCTTTAGATGCTAGAGATCTTATGTTTAAGAGACCACATTTAATCTTCCTGTTTTGTTGCACTGTAGTAGTTGTTACATTTACTTTTATTAGGTTATTATGTGTGACACCTCTATTAGGTTTTACCTTAAATTGTCCTTGGGCAGACGCACACACCGTTAATATTGGGTATTTTATTGGGTTCGGGATTCCTATGGATGACTGCCTAGGAGAGAGCGCAGAGAAGCGTGTAAGACTGCGACTCCGCCTCCTGGTCTCAACTCCAGTTTGTCATGGATTAAGTCCACAAAGCCCTGAAATGTTTGCTGAAATGAGATCTGCACCATCCAAAGTAGGATGAATGCCGTCACTCTTAATCAGACCAGGTTTTCCCCAGAAGGCTGTCCAATTATTTACGAAGCCCACATTGTTTGCTGGGCACCACCAAGACAACCAGCGCTGAAATGATGACATGATACATGTCATCATTGATCAGATTGGGGAATCCATCCTGCAGAATGATTACTTTTACTTTACTTGAAGTACATTTAGCTGATAATACTGTACTTTATATGATTCTGAATTGGGTCGTTATGCAAGAGGTTACATGACACGTAACCTCTTGTGTCATGTAACCTGTTGCTCCCCAAAACCTATATGGTATGTACTTCAACAGTTAAGCAATGGAATTGCAGCTATTGGTGACAGCGGTTCGTTTTTTAGACCTCACTTCCCTCCCTGCTGCCTCTGGGTGATAAACATAATTTGACCTTTAACCTGGAGAGATATAGGGTGACACAAGCTGTAGTAAACCACTTTAAACTTGCTCCTAAATATAGTACTCTCAAGTATAATGTTTCTACCAGTTGCCTCAGTATATAGCCCCTTCAACGCATGCTTTCGCTCCCTGCCTTTCTTCCTCATTGCTACAGCTTTACCTTTTTTACTGATGTTATTTTTATTTGACTCTTACTTACATGTTTTGTTTTTGTTAACCTTGTGTGAACCCTAACCTGTCCTGTTTCACTCACTCTGACACCTTTAATTTACCTGGTGGAGTTTTATCTCTGTCTATATTTGTATCTTATCTTATCTCTACTACAACTTAGGCTTCACAGAAATAGCAGCAATAAGTATTCAGATGTTTGGATAGTACTTGTTCATGAGCTGTCTCATATCAGTGACCTCCTTTCCGACAAACACTCCAGGAAACAGGGAACCAGAAACATTATTGTTTAAGTCAGCCATGTTTTATTGTTTAGCTACACCAGTTATATTATTCCTTTATTTTTTTTAAGACATAATGTTATTATAATGCAAACATAATCAAATACAAACACTGTACAGTTAAACATTATAAAATGACAATCAACAAATGTAAGGGAAAGCAGAACGAGACAAAGGTTAAGAGAATGATAAACTTAAATGAATCTGAAATCATTCACAGATGATGGATACATAATTATTTCTGACCTGAGGGTCATTATGTGTGTGTTTGTTATCGCTGTTATGATTCTGTTTAGTTTAGTTTTTGTTGTGTGCTTTTGTGTGCTTTTTCCTGTCTCCCCCCTCCCTTCTCTGTTTTCCTCTGCAGGGCTGGTGTGTGACAGGGAGTTGGCTAGCTCCTCCCAGGAGCAGACGAGGCACACCTGTTTCCACTCACCTCTTCACCTGTAGATATAAAAGCCCGGTCCTCATGCTACTTCCCTGCCAGATAATTCCTTCGACCCTCCGGTGTGTCTCGCTGCTCTCCTCGTCTTTTGGATTTTTGCCTCCTGTCCCTGACGACTCAGTGCCAGCCAACTTCCTGACTCCACTGCCGTCTTTTTTCTGTTTTCTGCTTGAATAAAGCTTTTTGTTTTTTTACCATCTCTCTCCAGTCTTTTGCTTTGGGGTCCAAGATTCTATAGGCCGTAACATAATTATCTGGCTAAAGCATGGACCCCGCAGAGACTGAGAAATTGAAGCAAGCTATTTCGACACAGGGAGCTCGTGTGGGGCAGCACGAACAAGCGCTACAAGGTATCATGGAATCCCTCCACAACCTTACTGCCGGTTTCACTCAACTCAGCGGCCGCTTGGACCAGTCTTTCATCCAGCTCAACATGCTGACGGCTCCAGCTCCTGAGATTCCAGTCATTCATCCCGGCCAACCCCGTGAACCATTCATCCCCACCCCTGTGAGGTATTCAGGTGATTCAGGGACATGTAGTCAGTTTCTTCACCAGTGCTCCATAGTTTTTGATCAGCAGCCTTTAACTTACTCCTCTGACAGAACTAGGGTAGCTTTCGTTATGAGTTTGTTATCGGGTAAAGCAGCTGCATGGGCGGTGGCCATAGCCAAGAGTAACCCAGCTATCTATAACTCCTTTCCTGTGTTTGAGACCGAGATGTATCGAGTTTTTGACCACCCGCTTCAGGGTAAGGAGGCCGGTAATCGGCTCCTTTCTTTACGCCAGGGTTCTGAGTCAGTCTCCACTTACTCAATTGATTTCCGCATTTTCTCGCAGCAGAGAGCGGGTGGGATGAGACGGCTCTACAGATAGCTTTTTCCTGTGGATTAAACGAGGAGTTAAAGGACGAGCTAGCTGCTCGAGATGAGACTTCGTCCCTTGAGGAGTTAATTTTGTTGGCCATTTGCTTAGATAATCGCCTCCGTGAGAGGCGTAGGGAGAGAACAGACAGGCAGAGATTCACCACGTCCGCCTGGACAGTCTGCACCTCCTCACCAACGCCTGGAGCCTTTCTCCTACCGGGACCCACCCACCGTCTCCTCATCCCTAAGCCCAGAGGAGCCTATGCAGCTGGGGAGAATGAGGCTTTCACCTGCTGAACGGGAACGCCGTTTCCCTCCAGAGGCTCTGCATATACTGTGGTCAGGCTGGCCACATTCGATCCAACTGTTCCGCTCGGCCAAAAGAGCAGGCTCAGCAGCCAGGGGAGGGGCGCTGGTGAGCCATACTTCTGTCTCCCCTTCCCACGCTAATCGTCTCCAGTTAAAGGGTACGGTTTCTAGTTCCCAAGTTTCCCTTCCCCTCCAAGTCTTAGTTGATTCAGGGGCTGATGAAAATTTAATTGACTCTGACGTGGTTTTCCAGTCTAATCTCTCCTCAGAACCCCTTCCCGAGCCCAAGAATTGTTTTCCCTTGATGGTAGGCTTCTTGCCCGTGTAACTCACCGTACTGCCCCAGTGTCATTGTTACTCTCAGGTAATCATCACGAGACCATTTCCATTTATCTCATTCCCTCACCCCTTTCTCCGCTGGTGTTAGGTCTCCCCTGGCTTAAACTCCACAACCCACACATAGACTGGGCCACCTTATCCATCGTCAATTGGAGTTTGTTCTGCCACTCTCACTGTTTACACTCTGCCATACCCACTACTGTTACTTCCAAACCTGTTCCCCCCCCATACCTGTTGACCTCACGTCAGTTCCCTCTGAGTATCATGACCTCCAGGAGGTTTTCAGCAAGGATCGTGCCCTGTCTCTACCACCTCATCGACCTTATGACTGTGGCATTGACTTGCTCCCCGGTGCTCCCTTGCCTTCGAGCAGACTTTATAATATCTCCAAGCCTGAGAGGGAGGCCATGGAGACTTATATCACTGACTCTGTTGCTGCTGGTCTCATTCGCCCTTTTCGCTCTCCATTGGGGGCAGGTTTTTTTTTTTGTTGACAAGAAGGATAAGACTCTACACCCCTGTATTGATTTCAGGGGCTTGAATGACATTACTGTGAAGAATAAGTATCCTCTCCCGCTCATAGACTCAGCTTTTGGTTTCCTCCATCAAGCCACCATTTTCTCTAAGTTGGACCTCCGAAATGCCTTCCACCTAGTTAGGATAAAGGAGGGAGGCGAGTGAAAGACTGCGTTAAGACGCCCCTGGGACATTTTGAATATTTAGTTATACCTTTTGGGTTAACTAACGCCCCCGCTGTGTTTCAGGCACTCATTAACGATGTCCTTCGTGATATGCTTAACAGATTTGTCTTTGTGTATCTTGATGATATCCTCATTTTCTCTCGTGACCCCCAAGAACATGTCCAACACATGAGGTTGGTGCTGCAGAGACTTCTGGAGAACAGACTTTATGTTAAGGCTGAGAAGTGTGCATTTCATGTTTCCTCTGTTTCATTCCTGGGTTTTGTGGTAGAGAAGGGACAGGTCAGAGCCGACCCTGCCAAAGTCATGGCAGTGGCCGAATGGCCCACTCCTACAACGAGAAAGCAACTCCAAAGGTTCCTTGGTTTTGCCAACTTTTACCGCAGGTTTATTCGTGACTATAGTCGAGCAGCCGCCCCACTCACCAAGCTCACCTCAGTTAAAGTTCCCTTTGTGTGGTCATCTGAAGCTGAGGCTGCTTTTGCCATGTTGAAGTGTTTGTTTTCCTCTGATCCTGTGTTATCTCACACAAGTGGTCGAAGTGGATGCCTCCGACACTGGTGTAGGGGCAGTCCTCTCCCAGCCTCCGACCAGAAATTGCATCGCTGCACCTTCTTTTCCCGCCGGCTCTCCCCGGCAGAAAGAAACTATGATGTGGGAAATCGGTAGCTTCTGGCAGTAGTCTTAGCCCTGCCGGAATGGAGGCACTGGCTTGAAGGCACGACTCATCCGTTTGTGGTATGGACGGACCACAGAAACTTATCTTATCTCCGTTCTGCTCGCAGGCTCAACTCTCGCCAGGCTCGGTGGGCGCTTTTTCTGGGCCGGTTCAGCTTCACCCTCACCTATCGGCCAGGCTCACGGAACATCAAGGCAGACGCCCTGTCACGTCAGTTCGCTCCTCCGGTTGAGGAGCCATCCGCGGGAACCAGTCTTCCATCCTCCTGTGTGGTGGGAGCAGCCAGGTGGGAGGTTGAGAGGGTGGTCCAGGAGGCACAAGAGGACCATCCAGCTCCTGAGGATTGTCCACCGGGTCGGCTGTTCGTTCCACCGCACGCCAGATCTTCAGTGCTCCAGTGGGGACATGATTCTAAGATAGCTTGCCATCCAGGAGCACTTCGGACTCTAGGCCTCCTCCAACAACGCTTCTGGTGGCCCTCCATGTCCTCTGACGCCAAGAAGTATGTCGCCGCCTACTCCATCTGCGCCAGCAGTAAGGCATCCCACCGCGCCCCTGCTGGTCTTCTCCGCCCTCTTCCCATTCCTCATCGGCCTTGGTCTCACATCGCCATGGACTTCGTGACGGGTCTTCCCCCATCGGAAGGAAATACAGTTATCCTGACTATTGTTGACCGCTTTTCCAAGGCCGTACACTTCGTTCCCCTACCAAAATTACCTTCTGCTCTGGAGACTGCTACACTAATCACCCAGCATGTTTTTAGATTGCATGGCATTCCTCTGGACATTGTTTCTGACAGGGGTCCGCAATTTGCCTCTCCAGTCTGGAAAGCCTTTTGCCGGGCGTTGGGGGTGTCGGCCAGTCTGTCATCAGGTTACCACCCGCAGACCAACGGCCAGACTGAGCGTGCGAATCAGGACCTGGAGGCAGCCCTTCGCTGTGTCTCTTCTCACCATCCAGTCTCCTGGGCCTCCCACCTGCCTTGGGTTGAATATGCCCACAACTCCCTGGTTTGCTCCGCCACAGGAATGTCTCCATTCATGGCTTCTGTTGGGTTCCAACCCCCTCTCTTTCCCACCCAGGAGAGGGATGTGGCAGTCCCCTCAGTACAGGGGCATCTTCGGCGGGCCCGCAGAGTCTGGCACGAAGCTCGAGCAGCTCTCGCTCGCACTGCTACTCGCAACCAGAGGCTTGCAGACCGCCATCGCACTCCAGCCCCGGACTACCAGCCCGGTCAGAAGGTCTGACTGTCCTCCAGTGATCTGCCACTCCAGACTGACTCCCGCAAACTGGCACCCAGGTACATTGGCCCGTTTGTCATTGAACGGATTGTTAACCCCGCTGTGGTTAGGCTCAAGCTGCCTGCTGCCTTGAATGTCCACCCAGCATTTCATGTCTCACTTCTCAAACCAGTTTCCTCCAGTCCTCTGATTCCTCCGGCCGAGCCCCCTCCTCTCCCCCGGAGTATTGACAATCATCCTGCTTTCACCGTCCAGCGGTTGTTGGATGTACGAAGGCGAGGCCGGGGGTTCCAGTACTTGGTGGATTGGGAGGGGTACGGGCTAGAGGAGCGTTCATGGATCTCCCGCTCCCTGATTTTGGACCCTGCTCTCCTTAGGGACTTTTATGAGAGGTACCCGGACAGGCCTGGTAGGACGCCAGGCGGCGTCCGTTGAGGGGGGGGGTAACTGTTATGATTCTGTTTAGTTTTGTTTTTGTTGTGTGCTTTTTTCCTGTTCTCACCCCTCCCTTCTCTGTTTTTCCTCTGCAGGGCTGGTGTGTGACAGGGAGTTGGCTAGCTCCTCCCAGGAGCAGATGAGGCACACCTGTTTCCACTCACCTCTTCACCTGTAGATATAAAAGCCCGGTCCTCATGCCACTTCCCTGCCAGATAATTCCTCTGTGTTTCGACCCTCCGGTGTGTCTCGCTGCTCTCCTCGTCTTTTGGATTCTTTGTTTGGATTTTTGCCTCCTGTCCCTGACGACTCAGTGCCAGCCAACTTCCTGACTCCACTGCCGTCTTTTTTCTGTTTTCTGCTTGAATAAAGCTTTTTGTTTTTTACCATCTCTCTCCAGTCTTTTGCTTTGGGGTCCAAGATTCTATAGGCCATAACAATCGCAGCCATTTTCCCCATTTGTTCTTCAAATATATACACTTTATTTCTAATTCTTGTAGTTATTGTTTCCATGTCATATTTTTCATTCACAATATCCTTCCTTTTTGAGTTCATAAAGTTATTAACAAATGTATTATCAAGACCATTTTAACCAATTCCTTTTAATTTGTTTAATTACTGCTACTCTACTGGTGATATTTACTCTTCTTTACGGTTTAAATGCAGCTCTGCTTCTTCTTGTACTGTGCATATTTGTGTATGCTTATGTCTGTTGAGAAAATGTATACAAATACTACTTGAGGAGTAAATGTGTGAGTTCAAATGTTTACTCAAGAAAATGTCAAAATGACTAGTTCCTCTTCAGAGTCAAGAAAAAGTGATGTGTTGACTTGTATTTATTTAACATTAAGTTCATACAAAGTAGGGCTGTGCAATATGGAAAAAATTAAATGTATCTAATCAAAGACCCCTAAATTAATGTCTCTTTAACCATATGGATATAATACTCTAATATTGCCCAGCCCTAAGATAAACAAATAAAACTGTTCAGTTAGAAATCTTTACGCATTGCATTTCAACCGTTTTGTGAATTTCACATTAAATATAGTGTCTAAATGACAGTATTTCATTAAAAAATTCAGAGGTGTATTGTTTTACTTAGGTAGCAAAAGTAAATTGTAGAAATACTCTGTTACAAATAAAAGTACTCCAACTCTTACTTTTAAGCAGAAGTACAAATGTATTAGATGTATTGTATTAGCTAATAATCTGAATCTGTAAAGTACAGCTGTCAAATAAATGAAGTGCAGTAAAAAACGGAATATTGGCTTTTAAAACATAGTGGAGTGGAAGACTAGAGTTGTATTAAATGAATTTAGAAGTCATAAAGTACTTAAGTACCATACTTGAGTAAATGTTCTTACATTCGACCACTGCTCAAAATAAATCCAACAAACACTTTCCTCTGCATTTAGTGAAGGGTTTTTAGTGTGTAAAGCCACTGAAAATGATGGAAATAATCCTGTGCACTGCTTCCGAAAACCCACATCAGTTGATTTTAGTGTAAGTATTAAGAGTGAATATGAAATGTTGTTGTGAAAGAATGAGTGTGAGGACCCTCAGGGAAACTGAGACAGGGTCCAGTGTGGAGCAAAGGCCAGGTTAGAGTTGAGGCTATTATTAGTACAGGAGTACAAAACAGTGCCTGTTTTTAACATTGCATCTTTACTATAATACCATGCATTGATGCATTCCTCATTAATATCTTTATAAATAATAATACATCAAAGCATACACGAAAATAGCAAAAGTTATACCATTATATAAAACTGGGGATAAACACCATTACACAAATTACAGACCTGTTTCATTGCTCTCTCAGTTTTCCAAGATCCTTGAAAAGCTTTTTACAAAAAGACTTGACAGTTTCATGGAAACACATCAGCTTTTGGATGACAGTCAATATGGATTCAGGAAAGATAGATCAACATCTATGGCACTAATGGAATTAAGTGAGGAAATAGCAAACTGCATGGACAATAAAAAACAAGCAGTGGGAATATTTATAGACTTACAAAAAGCATTTGACACCATAGATCACAATATTTTACTGATAAAACTGGAACGGTATGGCATCAGAGGGGTGGGATTAAACTGGCTGAGAGATTATTTAAGCAACAGACAACAATTTGTTGAAATTGGTGAACATAAATCAGAATACATTAACATAACTTGTGGAGTACCTCAGGGGTCCGTGTTGGGTCCAAAGCTGTTCATAATATACATCAACGACATTTGCAGAGTATCAAATATATTGAAATTTATTTTATTTGCAGATGACACTAATATTTTTTGTTCCGGTGACAATTTGAAAGAGCTAATGGAAGTGATAACAGCAGAAATGATTAAAGTAAAACATTGGTTTGACACAAACAAATTATCATTAAATATAAGCAAAACAAAGATTATGTTATTTGGAAAACATAAAACAAATCCACAGATACAATTAATACTAGATAACATACACATAGAAAGAGTATATGAAATGAAGTTCCTTGGTGTGGTTTTAGAGCACAAAATCAGCTGGAAACCTCATATCACTCATGTAAAAGCAAAACTGGCTAAAACTATCGCAATATTGGGAAAAGCCAAGGCAAGGCAAGGCAAGTTTATTTATATAGCACTTTTCAACACAAGGCAATTCAAAGTGCTAGATACATTCTGGACTATAACTCATTGTATACTCTATATAACACACTAATATTGCCATATCTGATTTACTGTGTGGAGATTTGGGGAAACACGTACAAAACCAACCTACAGCCGTTATGCACATTACAAAAAAGGGCTATAAGAGTTATCAATAATGTTGGATATCTTGAACACACTAATGTATTATTTTTGAAGTCACACATATTGAAGTTCATTGATCTGGTTAAATTTAAAACGGCACAAATCATGTACAGAGCCAGACATAATCTACTTCCTAGGAAATTAAAAACATTGTTTGTAGACAGAGAGGGTGGGTATCATCTGAGAGGAAATCTACATTTTAAACAACTCAAGGTCAGAACAACTCTGAGAAGTATGAGTTTAACAATCTGTGGGGTGATTTTATGGAATGGTTTGGAGCAGGAGTTAAAACAAAGCACAAGCATCATTCAGTTTAAAAGGATGTACAGAAACACTTTTTTGGAAAACTATGAGAATGAAGAAAGGTGATTGAAGATGAGAAATGATTGTATATGTATGTATACATGTAAATGTATGTAGGAATAACTTGTATAATGATCTAAAGGACAATCATTGATCAAGTAAGGGGTGGGAATTAATAAGCATTTGCTTCCTCCTACTCCCTTTCGGACACATATGATTTATTATTAATATGAAGACATTTTTTGTTTTTTTGTTGAATATACAAATATTACCATGAATGTGGATAAATACTGTATTATAACAATACGGTATTCTGTTTTTCACATTTGTTATTTTTTAATCTGTTCGAAAGAAAGACTGAAAGAAAGAAAGAAAGAAAGAAAGAAAATATTGGTACATTTTTAAATCTTCATGAAAATATTTCTTTCTTGAAATTCGTAAAAAACGAGGCCTATAGTGAGGATTAGTTTTACTTGCCTAATGTTTGTCTAATGTAACATTTGCCTAATCTGTGGGCGCCCCACACTACAACTCGAGATATGATTGGCTGTCTTTCCTACATACACCGTCATCCAATAACATCTCTGACACGCGGGGCGGGAGCTTCGACAGCCAATAGGAATCAAGAATAGACGCGGGTTCGAGCCGTCCCCTCGCGTTAGCCGGTTTGAATGTGGCCTCCCTGGATATAAAAAGAGAGCGGTCATGTGTCGTTCCCTCCCTCTCTGACTCTGTTCGTCGGCTAGGCTGCACTAAACCTACCCAAAACAACACACCAGAAAACAACCATGTCTGACAAACTTAACTACAAAGTTGGTAAGTGTCAGTTTTATTGACTTTATTTAAACCTACTAATCATATGTTTTGTTTGGTAACACGTACGGTTAGCTAGCTAGCTTGTTGTGAAGTTTGTGGTTCCGTGCATGTCGAGCAGCCCGTTTGAGCCAAAAACCTAATCGTTAGACGAAAAACAATTAGAGGTTTAAAACGGTTTTATTATTACATGGCTTAGGTTGTAGTTATTTCCTGCCTTTGTTATTGCTAGCCATAACCTGATAGCATGTGTTCAATTATGATGTTTTCTTTTAGCGTGTTCATCATAATTTTGTTATTCGTCTATTAGATTCTAGCATGTTCTTTCCCATTTTCTATACTCTCAGTATTCACAGTTTGTTTAAATCTGAGAATGAATAGAAATGAGACCGCCGTACTACCGCCGAGCATGCTTTTCTCTGTGAACAGAAACGACGTCCAGTCTCTGGATATTGTAGTTTATTTGGGTATCTCCGTAATGCCATGGCTGTGTTTGCAAACTTCACTTCCCGTGAAGCATTGCAACCCGCCGCCAGTTTGTGCATGAGTGACAGCAGCAGGCAGAGACTGATCTGCACTGTATGCACCTTACATACGGTAGTAAAGCTGGGACTACACGTGGTGGTGCTGTGTAGCCGCTTTACGAGCTAAATGGTTTAAAATAAATATTGTTTCGAATTATGTCACTTTTGAACATCGTTTTTTTCTTATGTTTAATTACTTGCAATTTTCTTTCTTTTTTAACTATTTGTTATTCAAAAGTGTTTAGTTGCCGTTCTTTATTTGATGAGTTGGAACAATCTTCTTTGATTTGCCAGTATGTTCATTTGGCTCCAGAAATGGAGAAGCACTGTATACGATGAGACAAAAACAAACAAAGAATTCAAGGTAGCAGTGCATAGGGAAATAATGCGCCATAGACTTTTTAATATTACATTTGGGAAAACCTGGTAATGTATGTACAATGGGAGATAATGTTAGTTATTATACATTAAAATCTCCAGTAGTTGTAACGGCACTCGGTGAGTGTCAAACGTGACACTTGTTGGCCTGAAGCAGCTGGTTAGAAGCAGATGCAGTTGCACAATGTCCTGTTCACAGATAAGCGTGGGGCAAAGTCTAAACATTCTCTATTGACTACATTCAGTCAAGAGTCAACCAGTTCCTCAGTGACTGTTAGTCAAGTCCTGAGTGATTAATTGATGCAATATCTCTTTTTTAATTCAAACATTTTGTCTGTAGACCAAGCATTGTCCCATGGCCATGGAATGTACATTTTGTACTTTTCTAAGGATTAAGGAGGGGGTGGAGGGCACTCATTGCTGGAGTGTGTTATTTCATTAGAGCTGTAATAGTTGGTAATAAGATTTATTTTCTGCACTTTGTATACCATAATACTTTAATTGATTAGTTAAAAAAGAAAGACTATTTAACATTTATAAAATGCTGGCTTTTTCTTTTCAAATAACTGACCTGATTTGAACTCTGGGCACACAGCAAAGTTCAGTTATTAAGGCACATGTGCCAGGATACCTGCACTTTAAATGCTATTTTGTTTATAGATGGCTTTGAACCAACATTCCTGCCAATACTGTTGCCCTACTCGGCAATGATTCACACCTGGTGATGGTAGCTAAAGTTTAGTTTAGTCACTCCACTTGACCTGGGGGTGAACTTGGGTTACTAATCCTGTCTCTGGCCGGTCATTCAGGCCAGTGCCGGTTTGGTGCAGTTACTACAGACTCAGTTTGCACCATAGACTGTATTTGTATAAGGATTTTGCACAGGCTGCAGCCTGCGGTGGAGGAGGAGGAGGGTGGGTTGCACTCCATGACCTTCATCCTGTCCCCTGAAGCTATACACTAATATTAAAAGCCCCTTTGGAATTAGTTTGTCTTCAACCTCCTGCAGTAACAACACACCTCATCTGAATTCTAAAACACATGTTTTCTCAAAGAATAAATACATTTCAGTTTGACATCAAAGTAGTCTCAAAGGTAACATTACTTTAGGATAAAATGTGTGTAAAGTTGCATTTAATTAGGATTACACTTAAAGAAAGCTTCAAAACAATCATTTCTACTACAGCTCTTGTAAAACACAAAACTGCACATGTGCAGTAGCAGCTGTCTGAAAGGAGAGCAGTGAGTGTACGGCAGCAACTTGGTTAGCAGGGAAACCATTATATTCTCACACGTTCAAAAATAAAAAAAATAACATGCATCGCGAAAAAAAAAAGTTTTGCAGATAACTTGAAATGTATTGGGTTTTGTCAAGACTTCATTATTTGTAGAAGAGCAATATTCCAAATCGTGATTAGTTTTCAGGAAGAGATTTAAGAACCTGTTCCATGCTGTGTCTCTTAAAAATCTTTTTGATCCAAGTCTGCAGCAAATATGGACATGTTGAGTGTCCTTTGCAAACATTTATATTATGTTATTGATTTTAAAATAAAACATTTGATATTGATCAAAAAACCCTTTAGTTGTTTCATAGGGATAAGTTGTATTATACTGTTCTTGACATTCAATTGAAATAATGTCATGTTCTTTATAAAAAAAAAAAAAAATCCAAAGCTGATTTATAAAGAAATTGCATCTGAAATAAGCTTGAGGTGACGGATCTGCTTACTTGTACCCTTCCTTATTTCTTTATTTCATACGTTTAAGGTTGCGTTTTTGGCAGGGCATGGGACTTCATATTCTCATTGCCATCAACTACACTGTAGCTTTTATAATATGACTACAAACCCTTGGAATCTTGAGTGCAGGATGAAGAAGCTTTGGTATCTTGTGTTTTGACGTCCTTTTTCCCGTCTCAGCTGACATCAGCCTGGCCGACTGGGGGCGTAAGGCTATCGACATCGCAGAGAACGAGATGCCGGGTCTGATGAAGATGAAGGAGATGTACGGTCAGTCCAAGCCGCTGAAGGGCGCCCGCATCGCTGGCTGCCTCCACATGACCCTGCAGACTGCCGTGCTCATCGAGACCCTCACCGCCATCGGAGCTGAGGTGAAATGTTTTTACCATCTATTTATTCAGATGTATTCCTCCAGAGAGAATCTACTCATCAGGCAAGACTCTCAGAACATGTAATATATAAACTAGACTCAACTTGCTTGCAAGAGTTTATTAAACAGTTGCGGCTTTAAATGGAAAAGTGGGGGGGTCCGTCCGACTGACGTACAACTTCTCACTTCAAAAAAGAAGAAGAAATCTCGATCGCAAAAATAATTACAACAAGTGAGTGCCTGTTTTTCCTGGCCAACGACAGGTTCCTTGAACACAACACGAGCGTAACGTGTCTTCACGTGGTTATGTCTCGTCTGAAAGGAGTGTAGAGTGCCGACGGAGAGCACCGGAACGGCTCTTCAAATATTGCAGTACCCATAAGGAGCCGTACACACAGTGGCGAGCTGTTGTTATTAGCATCTGGTTAGCTAGCTATGCTAACGAATTTAAAGAGCTTTTCTACAACCAGGTGGAAGAGAGCTCTCTCCTGAGAGGCTCAAATAACCTCAGTGAGGTTAAGGCACACCTTGCTATGATCATTATAGTTATTAATGAGACATTAGAGACTAAATGAAAAACAGGTATAAAATACTATATGACAGTAACGAGAAAGTTGTTAAAAATAACAAGAATACAGTTTAAAAGGGGAGTGATTTGTAAAATATCCAAAAAGAAGAATCTGCTTACAGTTCTGTTTCATACGGGTGTTGAGAGATGTTTCCATAGATCTCTTAATGTTGCTCTCAAAGTGCACCAGATTGATGCTTTTAACTTCAATATTAAAAAAAAAAAAAAAAAATCTTCCCGGACCCCCCTAGAGGAGGTTAGGTCCCCTCACTTAAATCATGCCACACCGTGCACATGCATGCATGCGTGAGTCATGGAGAGATATCTGGATGAAGAGGTTGCTTTTTCTTTGCACAGCATGAAAGAAAGGCCAAATGAAAGGGCAGTGATTTTAGTATTTTTAAGCAGAGGTCAATCATTTGTACGGCCCTCGGAGGATGTTGTAAAGATTGAAAGGAAAAAGGTTCCCCTGCTGTAAGTAATAATAAAAACCCTTGATTTTTAACTTAACATCTCTGTCTCTATTGATCTGAGTATATTATAAAGAATAGCAGTTAATTGAAGCATTATAGCACAGGCCTTTGTCAGATGGTATATTACGCTGTTTTTTTTCTGCTTCGAATAGTTCTCTCTCTTTTCACCATACCTGTGTTTGCATCACTGAATATAGATGTTTTTTATTTTAAAGTAAATTCAGATTGAACATAGTAAAAAAATATATAAATGATAGTGTCCGTCCAAAAGAAAACATTACTTCTAGTGAAAACCACCCTTGAATGATGGGATAGTAGACTAAAAGCTTTAGGAATCCAAACTATAACATATAATAAGTACCCCTGTATCAAGATTGATGCAAAACAAGTGACATTTGACCTTTTTAGACAGATTTAGCATTTGGGTGTATTTGCCATATCTCTGTCGATGTTGATGATTGACATCTCTTTTGAACCGTTGGAGCCAATAGAATCGAGGGGAAGTTCCTAAAATCCATCTAAACATTACCCATTGGTGAATGCATGCCAGCGCGCCCAAAACGGAAGCTGGGTTGTAGCTCTCATAGCAGCTAATATGAAATCTCAGTTTTTGACGACAAATGGAATGATGGATTATCAGTAATCATTTCAAAGTGACAGACACATTGGATTAACCTTCAGCAGCGTTTCTATCGTTTTAATGCCATTGAACACAACTTTTGATAAGAAAGATGTATTTGCCGTTTTGGCTGCGTAAAGCTACGTTGTGTGTTGTCTGGGTTTGCCTTCGCTGCCCTGAGTTGTGTCGCACAGTGATGATACTTATACCTCTAGGATCTGTGGAATCTCAGCTTTAATCTGATATCTTGTTTGTGCGGATCCGATAAGTAATAAAGTATTTCTACCGCGAGTTCTGTGCGTTAGCATTTTTTCGCTCCGGGCTAATTCAGAGGCTTGGTATTACCCTTGTTTCGTTTAGCAAACACAAGGTTAAAAAGAGAAATAGATGGTGCAAGTCAAAATGCAGTTTCTAGTTTTCCAAAAATGCATCTGGTTGATAGCATTAGCTGCTCAGTATAACCTCTGTTGTCTTCTGACTTGAAAAGGGCACCACATCAGTGGTTTCTAAGAGGTCATCTTACCCACCCATTTATCTTCACTCACTCAAACAGACAGGGGAAGAGAGGGTTCCAGACTGACTGCCCCAGGCCGCTCTTCTGTTATCATGCGTTTGTTTGATCAGAGCAGGACTGGTTTCATCCTGCAGGAACCAGCACCAACGGAGAATCAATAACCCACTCTCAGCTCTTCCCCTCAATACGTGACACTTCTCTCTGCTCATGATACTCTAACTAAATATGCAGCTTCCACAATGCACACGATTCTGGTCTTTATTTTAGCTTTTGTATTCTAAAAGGGCAATTTCTTTTTTTTTTTAAATAAAAAATACTAGGGATGCACGATATTGGTTTTTTGAAACCGATACCGATAACTTCCTGCTTCTCAAGACCGATAATAATATAATATATATATATATATATATTAAATGTACCTGTAGTTTTTGCACACCTGGTGGTAAAACAAAGACTAGTAGTGAGCAAATGACATGAGCATTACTACTATGAACAAAACAAAGCCAAGAACAGTTTTGACTCTTCAAAGTGACCATATTTATTTTCCCAAATAAAGTTCTTGCCTTTTTCAAAAGCCTCGTCGATGGGTAAAAGCCCCGGTGCCTTTGCAGCTGGCTTTGGATTCGCCGCTAGTTTAGCAGCGCAGGCGTCTTCGTACGCTTTTAACACACCATCGTAGCGATGGCGATGTTTCAGGTGACTAATCAGGTTGGAAGTATTATAGCTCGTTGCCTTTTTCCCTCCTCGTGGAACTTCTGCATTTGTTAATACAAATAGCAAGCGAACTATCTAACTCTGAAACTTTGAAATAGTCCCACACTACCGACGACATGTTTGTTTACTGTCCTGGCTTCACGGCCGCACACCATTTACGTCACAGCCAGGCATGAGTTAGGGAGCGCTGGATTTGTGAAGAACTCCCCTCTTCCTAAACCACTAATACCACAGTACTGGCAAAACGGGAGGAGCCGAGTGAAAAACAAGCGCCCCTCATCCCAATCCACCCACACCGCAGTCTTTTTTTCTTTTTCTTCACCCAAAAAATATATTGTATATTATCGGGGCTATTAATACTTTTATCGGGATGACGTCCTAATATCGGGCCGATAATTATCGTGCACCACTAAAAAATACATAAGATTTGTGTTTTCGATGTTTGCATATAAGGATATGGTTCTTAAAATGTAACAATCTGCTAGTGGTCCAAAAAGGGACAACAATGGTCCAAATTATATTTATTTTTAGATTCATATTTGATAACAACTGCTGCCTAAAGATGTTGTCACGGATATAAACATTTGTATAGTGTCTCATTAGATACCTGTGGACCTGTAAAAAAACGCATTAAACCTACTTTAAATACAGGCATGTAAAACACCAAACAAACGACTATGAAACAAGACCACTATTTCAAAGCATTACTAAATCCCCTTTAGAGGGCAAACTATCAGTAATCCCAGTGGCATATGTATACAAATAATACAGATTTAAATTTGACAGTTATCATACAGTATACATTTGCTTATCTATGGTATGTACAGTAGAGCTAGTCCTTTCCAATAATCATAGGGACATATTTTAAAAGCTCAGTTAATGTTTCATACTATAGTGCCGCTAACAAGCTTTAGGTATATGACACGAGTTGGATGCTATCTTATCATGTTTCTAACGAGGTTCTTATCCCTTTTCAAGGGTCATACTTGATTTATATGAAAATAATATTGGTTTAAAACTGGCATTTTCTGAAATGTTATTGTACCATATAAGAGTATTACAGTTACAGCCCCAAACAGAATTACATTGTTTTCAAGGTGAAGTTCACTGCCTCAAAACCCTTTCATTACAAGACTACTGGAATTTGGGGACATAAATACAAGTAACAACTATAGCAGTAATCCTATTTGTTGTTGAGATGACTCACTTTCCGCTTCTCTTCTGCCTCCTCAGGTTCAGTGGTCCAGCTGTAACATCTTCTCCACTCAGGATCACGCCGCTGCTGCCATCGCCAAGACCGGTGTTCCAGGTAACACACACCCTCTGTGGATACTCTATTTGAATGATAAAATACCTGATTATGACTTTCTAGCTCCCTCTGCAAAAAGAATCACTTTCCATAGACACATGTACAAAGTGCTTAAAAAGAATGAAGGCCTTCAGCAGGCGTAATCGTGTAAATAAACTAATTAAACCTGTTGAAAATAAAACGGGTGTACTAAAATGAATTCTTAATAGGCTTTAAAAAGCGATTACAAATATTAGTCACTCATTGAAATGTGACAGTTTAAGTGCCTTGAGCAAACATCCAAACCATACTGGCTAATCTGGTAAATGCTTCCTTTCTCTCCACACTAAAATGCCAGCCTGCTGCTCTAGTGTTAACTAGGAACACTTTTGAAAGTGATCCTGCATTTTGGAGCTATGTGACATATAAGTCATTCATTTTCAATCAATCACACAATCCAGATGCAAAGACGACTTCATTATGGATGTTTTTAATACTTCTCAGTGCAGCCGTACAGAAATAACTGCTTGCCTGATTAACAGGTTGCCTTTATAAGTCACAAAATGACTGTCATTAAGTTGTTTTGATTCAGGGGGTCCGCGGGGTCTTAAAAAGTATTAAAAGTTGATAAATCAATTTAGCGAAAATTATAGCTATTAAAAAGTATTAAACGGCATTTTCCAAAGTATTACATTTTGTAGCTTGTTTTCAATAAGTATATAAATGGTCCAAAGAGGTTGTGTTCTACAGTCTGCCTGAATGTAATCATGGCGTAGGTGTGTAGTGTGATTCTGTGGAGTTTATTTATGGCATCCCGTTGGGTTTGACGTCATCTGAACAGGACATCGCACGCTCACTGCTTGATAGCGCGGAGCTCCGTTTACGCCGGTTGTTAAACATCGTTATGGGGAAATGCAAGTCTGCGTCCAAATGGTTGGAAGATAAGGAGGAAGGACAATCAATATTGTATATAGTCAATGTGTCGCCAATGTAACCGGTTAGAACTCGAAGTGGTCTTAAAATGTATGGAAAGGGTCTAAAAAAGGTCTTCCATTTGACTTCAGGATTCCTGCATACACCCTGTGATTGTTGTATATTTAAATGGAAAGAAGTGCACTTTGGCTTTCTAAAAACACAGCAGGAGGGGACAAAAGGGAGATTAAACCAGCCGAGGCTCACTGTCCATTAAGAGCTTTTTCTTTTTATCAAACGCCAGCAAGTATTTTCAATTGTTAGCGCTGGTGATGCCCTTCCCTTTCATGCACTGTATGCACACTTCCTGTGGATGTCTGACTTAGCTGATGTAACAACCAAGAAAAGACAATAAAGAAGATTAACATAACGGAAAAACTCCCAGTGTTTTAAGAAACCAAAGCCAGCTCAGTTTGGATGCAGTCATACGTTTATTGGAAAGATAAAAAAAAACTGCATTGTTCATATTTGCCTGTTGAGGCAAAATAATCTTTATGAACTGCCTCCACTGTCGATGTGAAGGCTTTGTGTGTTTTGATATGAAAAGAAACAGTTCTCACCCTTAATAATGGAGTCTCAAATAATTAGCTATTACCAATTGATGTCAATATACCAGTAAATGAATCTAGCTCAACCCCTGCTACAGGAAAATAATTTGAGATGAAATAAAAAAGCATATTTATTACCAGATATTATGTGTGATGTATGGCCCCTTGAGGCGTTGCAGCCCAGCCGATGTGTTCAGCTGTGGCACAGGCAGACTGAGACTCACTCTGAGAGCTGAGAGTGGTTCTCACCACAGATCCAGACCCCCTGCCTCAGGATGGGCATCATCACCTGGCTCTGCAGAAAGAGATGAGTGAATCTATCCCTGTGTCTGTGCAGTGTACGCGTGGAAAGGAGAGACTGATGAGGAGTACGTGTGGTGCATCGAGCAGACGCTGTTCTTCAAGGACGGTCAGCCCCTCAACATGATCCTGGACGACGGAGGAGACCTCACCAACATGGTCCACACCAAATACCCCAAACTGCTCGCAGGTGGGTTTACACCGTTATAATGATGTTTGTTTATCCCTTGTTCCCTAGTCTAAGGAGGGTATAGAAATAAGAAGTTGATGACAATACTGTCTTCCTGTTATTCCTCTCCTTTGTTGCCACTTTAATTGTGGTAATCTAAAATGTCACTTTGATTTACTTTTATACATATTCATCTTAAGTATTCCAAATGTAAAGACATGGGAAATAGGGTTTTAATTAATATTTTTTAAGTTACAATTTAAAATCTCCAAAAATGGGTAATATCTATCTTATGCCTCAACCATTAACATCCCGTGGATCTAAGCGGTGGGAACATGTTTCATAATGGGTGGCATTGAAAAGTGTCACGGTTTTGAATCCACCATGACTTTAGGAACCCTGAGTTTCACCACCAGGCATCTCAGTGTGGTAGTTATTGTTTTTGGCTGCATTTCTGTTCATAAATGTCTGCTGGCGTGTGAAGGCATTCAGAGGCTGGAGCAGGGTTCCCTCTCTGGACCATATGAATGACATGTAGAGTTTTGGACACTAGATGGCAGCAGTGGTCTGACACAAGCTGATTAGTTGCCAGAGTTCATTCATCTTACACTATCTTGAACTTTCATTCACAGCAAGTATTTTTATATATAAACCATACATTTGTACACTTTACCATAGTTTTGTATCTTGTAATTTTAAAAAAACGTAGCAAATAAAACAAAGCTCCAAGATATTCTCCAGCACACTGATGCATCTAAAGGTGATAATAAACGTGATGTGTTCAGCTGTGTCACAGGGAGGCAGACAGTGGTAGTCTGCACTGAGACTCACTCTGAGAGCTGGGAGTGAGTCTCACCACCAACACGTTCTGTTAATTTGTATTCGCATGCTTGTAAATATGCAAGCCTGTTTTTTAAAACCAGCGCAACTGTTGAAAGCAAAAATACCGATGTCAGACCACCATACCATCGATGTGTAACAGACGGTATTCATAGTTTTTATGACATGATATTCTTCAGAACTTTTTAATTCACCGAATAATACATTATTCAGAATATAACTCGAATGCATCTCAATGCAACCTTTTTAAAATTAGCCTTTAGCCGTGTTAGTTTGCCACAAGGACTATGCTGCACACTTGCTCGCAGATAGCATTAACTAGCTATTCTCTTCTAGCCCCCCGGTACTTTAGAAACACGAGTGCAGTCAGGCTTTCTGAATTCTAAAAGTGATTCTAGTAACCTCGCTGTCCTCACCATCAGGGGGATTTCTTCACTTGTTCATCAGGAGAAGTATATCTATAATGATATTTCTCACTAACCCTGTGTTTTAGGTATCCGTGGTGTCTCAGAGGAGACCACTACAGGTGTACACAACCTGTACAAGATGATGAAGAAGGGCGAGCTGAAAATGCCTGCAATCAACGTCAACGACTCCGTCACAAAGGTACGCAGCCTCCACCTTTTTATCCTCTTCAGCTGTATCTATAGTGCGAATAGAAGATGGACAAAATAGCTTGTAATTCTTGTTTGTGTAGCTTTAAGTTAATATGTATAAAATACTACATTTTAAGCACGTTTGTTGAGGTTCTGAGAGCGTTTGCAGTCTTTTATTCAATCAAACTTCTCATGTCTTGACAACTACTGTTCTTTTTTAATAATTGGTCTTTATTAATTTTCCACATTTGAAAGTAACAAACAGCAATACTAAATGGATTATAAAATGAATACAAATTCATAACTATAATTTATAAGTGAATTTAGTTAAAAAATATATATTTTTCAATGCTTAGGACATATTCTCATATTCCATAAATACATCAAATGCTCCCAGATGGAATGATCTGTCTGAATGCTTCACATTGTTTTGAGAAACATTTGTAATGAATCGATCTGACAACAAAGTATTATTGTATCATCATTATTGAGCTTTAGTGACTTTGAATGAGGGGATATCGTTACAAAGTCCGATTCTGACACCAGGCCCTCAATGTGACCTGGTATATCATCTGCAATTAAAGTTGACAGCCGGTTGACAAATATATAATATATATGTGACTCTCCCTCCCTGCAGAGTAAGTTTGACAACCTGTACGGCTGCAGGGAGAGTCTCATCGACGGCATCAAGAGAGCCACGGATGTGATGATTGCCGGTAAGGTGGCGGTAGTGGCTGGGTACGGGGACGTGGGTAAGGGCTGCGTCCAGGCTCTGCGCGGTTTCGGAGCCCGCGTCATCGTCACAGAGATCGACCCCATCAACGCCCTGCAGGCCGCCATGGAAGGTAGAGGATGATTCCCTAAACAACATCATGGAGAGAGGCAGCACATATAAGTTCAAAGTCGTCTGATTTTAAAGGATTTATTGTCGTATGCACAACCCCTGCATAATGGAAGTTATTGGCAATTAAAATCAAGGCCAAAGCTCCTCCAACAACACAATAGGTGCTTTCACACCGGAGTGGGGTATTTACTGACTGATCTCCTCTCTCCTTCTGTTGCTCTCTAGGTTATGAGGTGACCACCATGGATGAAGCTTCAAAGGAAGGGAACATCTTCGTCACCACCACCGGCTGCGAGGACATCATCGTGGGACAGTACGTTTCTAGTCAAACTCCAAATGATTAAAATATCCTAGATATTAGTGTCTAATGATGCTTACTGCAGTTTAACAAGCTGAGTGGTAATTATTTTGTGTTGCCCTTCAGTCACTTTGAGAGCATGAAGGACGACGCCATTGTGTGCAACATCGGACACTTTGACTGTGAGATCGACATAAGCTGGCTCAACAAGAACGCTGCAGAGAAGATCAACATCAAGCCTCAGGTAGGAACATTTCTATATTAAAGGCTTATCTTCAGAGTTTAGCGCCTGCTCTCTTCTGTATCTTTCAGTAACATCTATCTGTGTCTCCTCCTCCTCAGGTGGATCGCTACCGGATGAAGAGCGGCCGTCACATCATCCTCCTGGCCGAGGGCCGCCTGGTGAACCTGGGCTGCGCCATGGGACACCCGTCCTTCGTCATGAGCAACTCCTTCACCAACCAGGTACTGAGGCCAGAGAGAAATAATGGAAGTACGCCGGTCACCATAACGACTGGAGGGATAAACAATAGTTTTGTCACTTTATATCGCTAATGTAATGATTATAATGGACACCCTTTTATTGCATGGTAAGAATATTCAACTGAATTGGCGTGTGAATAAATCTTAAAAATAACCACCAAACAATGAATAGGAGATGTTTACAGAAATGTCTCACAGTGGTTATGGGAATGTTGTTCACTTAAAAATGACGTTGTTGTGCAAATGAACACGCATGCTAATGCAACAAGCAAAGACTTGGTCAGAGAAAATGATCTTTAGTTATATCCATAGGATGGGTCGATCATGTGAAAGGCATACTTCGAAGTCTCCAACAAACACCATTTAACATAATGTCACTTAATCTGCTTTATGAAACGGTTTGTGAAAGAGTCTGATCCCCCCCCCCCCCCTGCAGGTTCTGGCTCAGATCGAGCTGTGGAAGAACACTGACAAATACCCCATCGGAGTCCACTTCCTGCCCAAGAAGGTCAGTGTCCTGTCCACATGTTGATAATGCTGTGTATTTGATGTGGACAAAGGGTGCGAGATGTAGCTCCTCTTGATGCACTGCAGCTTGGAATACATGGGGATAACTACCGGTATACAACTTGTTGACAAACGGTCATGCTAGCCTACCTTTCGCTAAAGAGAAAACATTGTTTTGCGCAACATGTTTTTACTGTTCTGTAAAAGAGCATATTAAAACTATTTAAAAATAAGTGACCTTGCGGTCAAGGTGATAGTGAATTTGACAATAATTGTATTTAGGTTTCGATTGTTTGAAAAATGAGTCAAACTAAAGAAAATGAGCTTAAAATGACAGAGGATCACGGATTGTTCTGATTGGTCATACCCAAAAGGAGGATCACGGAGTATTCTGATTGGTCATACCCAAAAGGAGGATCACAGAGTGTTCTGATTGGTCATACCCAAAAGGAGGATCACGGAGTGTTCTGATTGGTCATACATTTAGAAAGATACAAATGTAGTTTGAGGCTAAATGTGCCCTCTTTCTTTACACACGAGTACAAAACTAAGTGTTTTCAGGATCAAATGAAAACAATCTGACTTTTAAAGAAAGAGGGATCTAGATGTCTTCAAATCTATTTGTTTTGAGGACGTTCTCAGGTGTCAGTCAGTGATTTGGCAAAAGGTGAATAAGCCTGAAAACCAGTGAACAAACGAGAGTAGTCAATTCCAGATGTGATGAATTCCGGAAAGGGGGAGCTGCTGTTGAAGAAGATCATTTGACCAGCAGGAACACGTGTAGAGCTCGAGGGATCGGGTTGAGCCAACAGACTTTTCTATTCGCGGATGTCCTGCTGGAAGAATAGAACACATTCCATACACAAACAGATCACTTCCAAATCCGTTAAGACTGCCGTGTTTGAGTCGTATCCAGTTCATCTTCTGGACTCTTTCTTATGCTCCAAATATTACTGACCATGACATTTGTTATGAGGTCTGACCTCATCCTCTGTAAACCTGCAGGTTTGTAAATATTTAGAGAACATCTGTAGAAAGTCCACTGCTTTCAAGTGAGTCTTACTCCAAATGTTATCAATGTAGGGTGACGCACACGTTTAGTTTTTCTCAGAGCAACAAATAATTAGAGGCTGTAAACTTGAGATCATGCATGTGTTCACTAAAGTTAGTCTTCCCCTGATTTGACTTTGAATTCCAAAAGCTCCAAACCCAATTGACCCTGATTGAGTCATCATTGTACTTTATCAAACACAAATACCACACAGTATTTAATTTGATGCTCATTTGCTTTACATAACTGTTTTTGGACACAATCAGCAATTTCATTAACTGCCCTTTTCATAATCTTAGTCTAAGTAAAAAGACAAAGACGGCATTGCTGTCAGAGTAAACTATAATTGCTTATTTTGGTGACAATTTCAAAAGAAAATGTAATTATTTATTTTTTCTTCAGATTTCTTTTTTTAAACGAGCTTGTGTTAAATCAAAATAAAGTTGTATCCACATATTAAAGTAAAGTGGTCAAAACAAAAGAATCAAAACTCAAATGCATTGAGAAGCCTTCGCAGATAGGGAATCAAACATCTGTTTGTTAACTGACTGTAAACTGCATAGTTCACCACTAGGTGGCAATATCATTCCACCTTTGGCCTAAAACAAAACCTGGCTCAAAGCTTTATTGTCATGACCATAGAAACAGAGTTTCCAAAGCAAAGCATGCAAGGTAGGACAACCGTAAAACATGATGTCCTATCCTCAAAGAGCCTGAACCCAACTGCATCAGTAACCACATCAGAACTATAAGGATGCACATGATTAATGTGACCTTTCTGTCTCTGCAGCTGGACGAGCAGGTGGCCGCCGCCCACCTGGACAAACTGGGGGTGAAGCTGACCAAGCTGTCAGACAAACAGGCCAAGTACCTGGGTCTGCCCACCGAGGGGCCCTTCAAACCGGACCACTACCGCTACTGAGCGCCCACCCCTGGGGGGGAGAGGAAGTGTGGATAGATTGGTGTTTACATTTTGGACCCCATGTGTCAGATTTTCAGGGACAGAGACGATTGTGTTTCTTCCCCTTTTAATATCGGGCGAAGGGGGGGCCTCTAAAGCAAAGTCCAGCCCTGTTCTTCAGCTGACACCATCTTAGTTTTAATGCTCAAACGCCAATACCTTCAGACCACCTCCGCCTCCTCTTCCTCCTCATCATCACTCTTCTGAAACATTTCTACAGTGGCTGTTAGACTTACTCTGTCATTCCCTGTCCCTTTATGGAATAAAGCCCACCCTGATGCGTCTCTATCTGAGCCCCTCTGTCTCGAGGTGGAAGGTGATTACAAACTAAACGGTTAAGTGTACAGCGGCCTTATTCCAATGGATTTGCTTTAGCGCTGCCCTGTGTAGCTCTTACCACAGGATGAGATGCTGTTTCTGGATGTGTTTACTGAGAGGTCCGGTGCAAAGAGAAGCACTGCTGCCAAAATCACCACCAAAGCACGTCATGTCATGTTCTGCTCGATTTCTAGAAAAAGTCTTAATTTTTTTTGTCGCCTAATTTCTTTTGAATGTAATTATATTTGACGCAGAGGGCTTAAACATGAGCAGTGCCCCCACCTCCACTTCTGTCATGTCTCGGTGTCAGCGTGACGTTCAGGCGCTGGCTCATTTCTCAGCGGTTACAGCCTGAGTTCAACTGCCTGTATACGATGGAATTGAAAGTGACGAATGAGAAAAATAAAACATGTTAAATCTGAATTGTTTCTGTTGTGCTTGGGCAGTAAAATGCATTTCACGATTAAATCCTACGACTGTTCAAAATTAGGATTTCACACTGAAACGCACGCATGCTGTGCACTTCAATAACAACCACAAAGTAAATGTCATTTCAGACATGGATCCCCAGAAAAGAACATGCACATCTTTACCTTTGTTTTATTTTGTTTTCTGCTTACAGTTAAAATGCCAGCTTCATCGTTAACTCTTGGAAAACACACATGCAGCAGATTGGCATGCACACTGTAGCATGGGATTATTATGGATGTTTGACTTTAGTTTTCAAAGTGGTGTCAATCATTTGAATAAACCATTAAATAGGAGGGCTGCTTTTAGTTGTAGCGACTTTCTGGAACCAATGCATGTTTCAGGAACATTTGGTTTGACGTTTCCTGTCTGCCTTAATGCCTAGTAACCTCTGCTGCCTCTGCGTCAATCAGACACACAGGGCAGGTTCACTTTCCACTATGTCAGTATCTACAGAACGAATACATGCATGAATCAAACGGTAGCTTTCAAACAAACGGGCTGCTACGTCTCAGTGTCCGGTTTGAGTTAGCGGTTCAGTGCCTTGCTTAAGGAGTGCTTGGTAAAAATGGAATAAAGCGTTCAAAGTAGGGCTGAACGATATACCGTGTCATGGCGATAACCGCGGTATTCACACCGCAGGGACGTGCGGTTTTATTCTTTTTTTTTTTAGAATGCTAACGCACTTTAGCACAGAATTCAAAATAAAGATACCCTTATTACTTATCGAAACTGCACATACAATATATCCGATTAAAGCTGAGACTCCACAGATTATTTAAGTATAGTATCTAAGCGATCCGATCTCGCAACAGGGGAAGCAAACACAGACATCACAACACGTACCTTTTACGGGAGATCGTCGCACCGTAGCTGTCAATCTGATCAAAAGACGTGTTCAATGGCATTACAACGAGAAAGAGAAAACGCGGCTGAATCAGTTGATCCATAGGTTGATGATGTATCTGTGGCTTTGAAGCAATTGTTTATAATCCATAATTCCATTTTTATGTAAAAATCGGATCACAAAAGTTAGCTGCTAATGGTAGCCACCTTGGTGGTATGCAGCTTCCGGTTTTGGCTACGCGTCGTCACTCTCACTCCTTATTTGTTGGTGTGTGTAGAACTTCCCCTGATATTTGACCTTTTTAGACAGATTTAGCACAAAAAAAACCCTCTTTTGGGGCCATTTGGGTGGATTTTCCATATCTCTGGCCCACCTTGCTGGATTTTGACATGTGACATCTCTTTCTCACCGTCAGAGCCAATGGAATCGAGGGGAAATCACAGTCCTTATTTGGTAATGTGTGTGTGAGAGACTTCCGCATTGCCAAGACCGGAAGCAGCAGCCACTATGGTGGCTACCATTAGCAGCTAACTTTTGCTCTGCGATATTTACATAAAAATGGAATTATGGATTATAAATTAAATCATTTTTTTATACAGAGACGTTAAAAACCTATGGATTAACCGATTCAGCCGCGTTTTTTCTTTCTCGTTTTAATGCCATTGAGCACGTCTTTTGATCAGATTGACAGCTACGGTGAGACATCTCCCCTCGAAGCTACGTAAAGGTACGTGTTGTGATGTCTGTGTTTGCTTCCCCTGTCCGAGTTCAGATCACTCAGTGATGATACTATACACCTAAATAATCTGTGGAACCTCATCTTTAATCGGATATCTTGTAAGTGCAGCTACGATAAGTAATAATAAGGGTACCTTTATCTTGAGTTCTGTGCCAAAGTGCGTTAGCATTTTTCGCTCAGGGGTAATTTAGATGCTTCTTATGAGACTTGTGTTTTGTTTTGGTATAAAATGGTTTGTATCGTCAGTTAGCTGAGATTATTTCCGTTAATCTGGTATAACACATTAATAGGTTCTTAAATATTACGATCCCCTGAGACACTGTCGTGAAAAAAAAAGTAAAGTACCCGCCGGGACTTTGGGGTTTAACAGGTTTAAAAAAAAAACGCAATATATACCGCAGGGGGGGGGGGGGGGGGGAAACCGCGATGTCAGTTTTTTTCAATACCGTGCAGCCCTAGTTCAAAGTTTAAATGTGTTTTGGACATTCTCTTTGTTGCCTCTGGTTGCCTTTCTGCCGGCTCCTCTCCCCACAGGTTTCTCGTGGTTTCCATTAAGCCATACTAGCTCTAATGGTGCCCCGTTTGATCATGTGACACTTACATTGCACACAGGTGGGCTTTATTAAACTAAGTCATGAGACTTCTGAAGAAAGCACCACATGTTACACAGGCTTCACAGCGATCTGCACACACTTGTTGTTTTATTTAAATGTTTCATTCCACTTCACCTGTTAGACTTATCACATAAAAGCCATTTGATTTACAGTGAATATCTTCACAAAAATACATTTTAATTCCGGGTTGTGATGCAACAAAATGAAATAATCGGAAGACTGTTTTTGCAAGGCACTCTATTTTAAGCAAATTAGTACATCAGAGGAAAACCAGGAAGCATTTCTCAATAAAAACAATGCGATCTTTCCACTTCTAGCTACAGATTGTATGACTCACTCATGAAAGTTACATATTGCAGAACTCCCTATTCCAGGTCAGCACGGCATCACAATGATGAGAAGCTGTATTTGTATTCAATATAGTAGTGTCAGGTTACGAGTTATCCAAGATGTCACAAATCCTAAGCTTTTGTTGTAAGGGAGAGTAACATAATATTGTAATCTGGGCAGCACATCTTTATATTCAGAGCCCTTGAGCAAGGCACCGCGCTGACGCACAGCTTTCAAGTCTAAAGAGTTGGAGGTGATGGCAGGACTGTGGAAATAAGTGGGCAACGATCCATTGTATTAATTTCTTGACCAAAGTAAAGCGGCATTAACACATTTAAAAGATGTTTCTAGTGATTTTCTAGTCTTATAAACAAATGAACCACACTTCATGAATATACGCACTATTGTCTGTTATCATTCCTCGGTTTGTACATCCTTGATTCCTTTACTAACTTTAGATTAAAAGTACTGACTCCATAATACAAGTTCGTCCAGCATCAAAATGTAAACATAATTGTTGTTATTTTAGGGGGAGAGGTTACATATTGTTGCTTTAATGCACAGCACATCTTATTCTTTAGCAGTGGATCAAAGAATGCAGAGCTCTAAAGGGTTGAAGGTGATGGAAGGACTTTTGGAAAGCATTTGGACACATTCAGTTTGAAATACTTCCCGACTAAAGTGAAACCACGTAAAACATTTTTTTCTAGTGCCTAGTGATATTCTTAAACTTTTTAATAACACAAATAAACAGGATGTCTCTCCATGAATATGCACACTAGCTGCGTCTTATGAGGGGCCGTACAGGCCGTAATTCATACTGGTCCTCTCACGCACGTACATTCTCCTTTTACATACACACATTTTCACTGTCACATTCATACATTTTGTTCTCATATTCATATATTTTAATGCTCATATTTATACATTTTGCTCTCATGCACATTCATTCAATGTTTACATTTAATATTATAAATAATATATGCATGTCTGAAGACAATGTATGTATGCAAGAGAAGAATGTATGTATGTATGAAGACACTATGTGCATGCAAGAGAAGAATGTATGTATGTGTGAAAGAAAGTATAGTGGAAACGGAAGGAGTATGGTTGAAACGGAAGGCAGGTCATTATCACGCTGTGATTGGCTCAGAAGGTCGAGCGGGGCGGGCTCATGTTCAGAACTTAGGATTCAAATCAACACGATGGAGGGAGATGAATCCGTGTATCTACGGACCATTTGTTTTTATTTATTAAAAAAGTAAACGGAAGATCGTCTGAGAGGCGTTTTTGCCCTTTTGGTTTTTACCTTACTAAATGGTCTAATGGTCAGTGTAGCGAGGGGGGGTGAACTTATTGCAAAAAAATCATTTTATCTTTCATCAAAGAGGGCAGAAAACATGCATTATTGTACTCTGGAGGGGAGTTTGACAGAGTATTACTCAAATACAGTAAAAGTACTTCATTATATTTGTGGTAGTAGTTTAACAAGTACTGAGTCCAACGGTACCAATTTTATTAAGAACTTATGGCTAAAAATCATTTTATCCCTCATCAAATATAGCATAAGATCTTGAACTACCGTCAGTGCCCCTTCTCTGCGATTACCGTAAAGACGCTATTAATCGCGCACTCCAAAATGAAGAGCTGCTCATTTGACCAAACAAATGCGAGAGACGGCTGAGTTGACCGCAGTCAATATCATTAAGAACTAATGGTAAAATTGTCTTTATCATTCATCAAAGATAGCAGAAAACATCTATTATGTAGGCTACTATGGAGGGTGTTAGAGAATATTTATTCTCTCTTCCTAAGTGTCAAATAATAATTCTTCCTTACTCCTAAGTATTTAACATTTACTTATCTTCCGTAAGGAATGTGTTGATGCAGTCGTATGTTGATACTAGGTTTTACAGCTTGACCTACAGGGCATAGGGAGGGTTTACGACTGTGAGTGTAGGAGCCATTTTGTGGGTGATGTTGGTGTGTCAGTTTATTTAAGTTATATGTATAGTGCAATATTATTTATGAACACTGGGTGGCGGGGTTTAGCTGCACCGGGTGTATATAAGGAGGTCATAGGTGACAGGAGATGGGGGGACACAGTAGGAGAAGAGCATACCGATTCCACCAGCCCGGCAGATGCTCATAGAATCACTAGAACGCTAAATTAACCCTGGTATGTAAAGACGAATAAACATCATCATAAACCACAACTAAGGACCGGAAAATCATCTGTTTGTGTCTGCGTCTGGATCACTTTTCAACCCTTCTGTGAAAGTAACGGCAAAAATATATAGGACATAGGAAAAGGAAATTGCCATTACATTAAGTGGAATCGTACTTTTGAGTGAAACTGGACAATTGGATTCACTTCAAATTGGATTAAGGATCGTTTTCGGGGAAAACAAATAATTGGATTATT